TAGTTAATAACATTGGAACGAGCTATCTGCTTTACTCAGTCCATTAATTCAAGTGCTAATCTCTTCCAGAAACATTCTCACAGACATCCCTTGGTCCAGTCAAGCTGCATAAAAAATTAGCCATCACACTATGTTGTCATTTTTATTCACAGACATTCTAGCCACTGGGACCTCCTTCTTTCACAGGTAGTATGTTTACGTACTTTCTTGCTTCCCTCCAATAGTGTCTTAGTGTAGTAAGGAAACTTTTATGAAGTCAATGATATTTGATCAATATTTAACCAGTTTTTACCTAATAAAAGCCAATTTTATGGTTCAGCCTAAGCCATCCCCTGCTGCCACATACAAATGCTCTTATTTGGGGTCAAAGCTGGCATTATTTCTCTCTCAGTCATTCTTTCTGTTTGTGCACACACATGTGCATGCACATGCACCTGTTACTGAGCAGGGACTCACTGCAGGATGCCCACAGAAGCCAATACCATGGCGCTAGCTTGGGAGAAAAGAAAAAAACAACTTTATTGCAAGGTTGACCTACAAGGAAACAGGTGGAAGAGTGCAGATCTGTCTCTCTGATTCAGGGTTTTGAGGGACATTTAAAATGTTGAGGTGAACAGGCTGGTATGTAGACGTGCTGGCTGGGCAGGTTTCAATTGGAGGGCTTTGGAACTTGGCCATGTATGGTAAAATATGGTAAGAGGCTTCAGCACCAGATATTCCTGGACAATAAACCCTTCTCTTCTGAAAGGGTTCTGGCATTCAGGTCCTGGTCATGTCCCAGTCCTTTGGTTCCATGAAGGGGGCAAAACTATGGTTCCAGATATTATTGGAGGTCAAAATTCTCTCCTCTGCACATGCTTCAGCTGCATGACTTATGGTTTTGTTCTGTTGTCTCTGAAAAACAACTCAGTGTCTTGTTAGAAACAGGATATGGCCAGTTTGAGCTGGATCTGCAGTTACACAAATACACGCATATACTGTAATTGTTTCTCCAGGACATGTGACTAGTAAGAAGACTAAGGCCAAACTTTTATTTTCCAAGTATAGGGTTTATGCTGGATATTCTCCATTTGCCCTTTCACATTCACTCTAGACCCCTCCCCAGGAAACTCTCCTCCACAGACAGCATCAAGGCTCCCTTATCCCCTGACTTCTGGCAGGAGATCAGAACTCAGGAGGAGAGAACTTTGGGATCTTTATTCTCTGGTTCCTTCCCTGCTGGACTCTGGCTTGGAGTGCTTCTGTTCCTCTCACAGATGTGCCTTTTGTTTAGTTCCGTAATGGACCTCCTCCTGGACTAAGGGTTACTGTTGGGGGCAATCTGAACTCTGGCCTGGCTCTGGTAACATTGGGGACTCTCGGTTCTTTTCGCCAATGTAGAAAGAATTCTAGCTCAGTGAGATTTATGAGAGGTAAAATTTGTTAAAGGCACCTTTTGAGGTAGAAGTGTGCCATGCCTAAATAGGCTATAACTGTGGAAACTAAAGGTGTGATTAAAGTACACTCCAGATGAGGAGTGGGTTACAGCGAAGAGGGCTTTAAAAGCAGAGAATGGCCGTGATGGGGTGTTTCAAAGGCATTCCTAGGTGATTGGCATGTGAGGTCATTATGATTGACATTTGGCTGTTATATAACTCCCTGCCTACTACACATGTGCTTTCCCAGAATTCAGTCTGTTATAATTAGATTCATGAACTTCTGGGCATAGGCATGATATTAGAATGATGTTTTAACAAGGCTGAGGTGAATAGAGGGTCAGAGCAGTCCTTACTGCACAAGCGTCTGTGGCTGGACTCAACCAGCTATAGGTTTATGCCCTTTGTCTCCAGTCCTTTGTCTCTCAGGATACAGAAGTGATTTTTAACTACAAAATCTGTGTTCTTTGAGTGGTCTCTGGGCTGGACCTTTGCTCCTTTGTTCCCCATCAGTGGTCTCTGGGCTGGACCTTTGCTCCTTTGTTCCCCATCACTCGTGTCTGTCTAACAACCTAACAGTAAGAGCTTCCATTTTGTCAGCCACGGGGAGCTTTAGTTCCTATTGTTGTTTTTCCTTAACTCTGCCCTTCGTTTGTTTGCTAACAGTCCCTTGGTTAATAGTCCCTTGGTTAATGGTCTCTTCAGTTACCGCTTTTACTCTGCCATCCATCCATTTTCACCCAGGGCCCAGACAGAGAGTTATTTCCTGGCAATCGCATTTTATAGAGTTTTATAAATTATTATGAAAAGGTATTAGTGGAGCTTAATTTTAATTTTTAATTATTTTAAAAATAGGTATTTAATTATTTTTAATTTTATATTCCCAATCAAGGGAAATTGGAATGATTTTAGATGTCAGGAGACAGGTAATTATAGAGTTTTATTTTTTGTTTATTTAGAATTGTTAAAAGTAACAGCCAAACCTGGAATACTATAATGGAAAATCTAACATATGTATTACGAAGGGTAAAAATTACTTTAATCAATTGTAAATTCCGTTGTTCAACCACAGTGTCAGGAGCTGATGTGGAAATCTGACATATTTTTTGCAATTCCTATATTGGAGTCCTTCAACTACGTAGCCTAAGTTCCTCCACTTAAACTAAACCAAAAAAGTGACATAAAATTGTTTACTCTTTTGACATATTTGCTGACTACTACTTCAAAACCATTGAGCTACTACGTTGGTGAAAACACTTAATATGTCTAGTTTTTACAAGGTCAGCTCTCCTTGGGCTTCAAATCAGTGCTTTGCTTCCGGGCAGCAAAGGTAAAGAGAAATCAGAGTAAATTACACTATCCTCATCATACCAAGGAAGGCTACAGATTAGCTCTTCAGGAGAGACAAAATTATTCCTAGTAATAAATTCTAAAAATGTCTGTTTAGTGAAAAAAACAAAACAAAACATGTATTTTCTTCCTGCAAATTTAATCTACAAAAATAAATCTAGTGAAAAAATAGGAAACTTATTTTCCTACTGCGAATTTAAAGGATTATATAAACACTTCAACTCTTTTTAAGTTGTGATTCCTAAGAAGAGAAATTACCTAATGACTCTTTGTCACCTCTAGAAACAGGCAGTTTGAATATTTCTTTTATTAAGATATATTAGAATGTCATTAATAGGGAAGCCTTACAAATAGGTTATAATTTTTTGAGAAAGATCGCACTGTGCTAAATAATGAGGTATGAGAATACACTGAACAGCTTGACTTCTGCTGACTTTTACTTAAGAGCGTGAAGTGTTTTAAATTAGACTATGTTAGTATTGATGAAATGTGCACAAGGGGAAAATAATTTGAAGGCTATGTTCCATTTCAAGAGCGGATAAATTGTATAATTTAAAAATAAAACACTGTGACCTGGCAGTAAGGAAGCAACAATGCTTGGATGCTGTGGGAGACAGTGGAAATTGGGGCAACCTTCTGGGAAGCCAATTCAGTGATGTCTATCGAATGTACCATGCACTTGACCTGGCAATTATGCATACAGATTAGAGTTGCCCCTAGATAAACATTTAGAAGTACACACACACACACACACACACACACACACACACACACACACACACAAAATATGTAAGAGTATTCACTGCAGTATTTTTGAAATAGCAAAAGAAAAACATTACAAAAATAATCCAAATGTACAGCAATAAGGGTATGGTTAAGTAAAATGTATATTCATTTCAGGAAACACTCTAAGCCAATAAGAAGTACAAGGTAATTCTGTATATGCTATATGGAAAGGACTCCAGGATGGATAAGTAGGTAAATAAGCCAGACATAGACCATTATGTCTCTTTCCGATCATTTAAAAAGCAGAAATATAGATGCTCCTCGACTTAGGATAGGGTTACCTCCTGATAAACTTATTGTAGGTTGAAAATATCGTAAGTTGAAAATACATTTAATACATTTAACCACTGAACATTGTAGCTTAGCCTACCCTATCCTAAATATGCTCAGAACACTTACTTTAGCCTACACTTGGGCAAAATCATCCAACACAATGAATACACTCTAGGATATCAATTGTTTACCTTTGTGATTATATGGCTGACTGGGAGCTGCAGCTAGCTGGCCCTGCCCAGCATCCCAAGAGAGTATCATACTGCATATCAAAATTTAAAATTCAAAGTATGGTTTCTACTGAATGCCTATTGCTTTCGCACCATCGTAAAGTCAAAAAAATCATAAGTCAAACCATTATAAGTTGAGGACTGTCTGTATCTACATATATAGGTTTATGTAGACATATTGATATTTATATCAGCTTATATATTGAAAAATCATAAGCATCTGACTGAGTGTCTGCTTATCTAGACTTTAATAATGAATACTAAGCTTTGGCTTTGGCAGAGAGAAGTCTTAGGTGGGGGCGAATTGCCAGTTGCTTTTTTCTTTTCATTTGATAGTTTTCTGTACAATTTGATTATTTTAACCATATACATACAATATATCCATTTTTTTAAATGTCAATATGAGTGCTCTGAAGTAAGTCATTATTGTTGGTCTTTACTTTTAAACACTTATAAAAAACAGTAAATAATATTTTACAAAAGAATAAAGCACAATTGTCAGGTTATGAAGGAGAAACTCTAGCGCATGAAGGATTGTATTCCCAGGAAATCAGCTCAAATTGTGTGTGTGATATTCTCATTGCAAACAGTGGGCAGCTCTTGCACCCACATCTTCCTCATGCTGAGCGTGTGTCTCTCAGCTGTCAGAGGATAGGCTTCATGTGGGACATGGGGACATCAGCCTCACCTCCCCTTATGAGCAAGGAAATTTGAAATTAGTTATTACAATTGTTTTCCTAGTCTGTGATAGGAGAACATATCACAAAACAAAGGCCTCGCTAAACATGCATTCACACTTAATGGGTCTGACCTGATGCAGAACGGGGAGAAAATTTGTTGCCTGTTTCCTGTGGACCCCGGAGTTCAACACCATGACTCCGTTTTGGAAACAATTCCAAAAGGAAGCAGTGGGATGACTGTTCTCTGCTCTTGTGAATCTTTTTAGAATTCCGATTCCTGGTGAGCCCCTCTGTGTGTCTGGACCAGAGCACACAAGTCAAGCTGAGTACTTCAAGTCCCCTTTCAAAAGCAGCGAAGCCACCTGTGTGGAAGCCATGGGCCTGGAGACAGGAACAACTGTAAGCTGATCATTTTGCACTGTTATATTCAGCATGCATTTTAGGAGACAGCTAACAAGAGAAAAGCACTGGAATAGAGCTAGGGGGTTTTGCATGTTTAAATTATTATGTCTGTTACATAAATTTTCAGCTATCTCTTCTTAATAAAGAATGCCATCATTGGTTTTCTTCTAGACTAATTCAGACCTCTCCTGCCATAGAATAAACATTCAGGTAAATAAGACTCTTATCTAGGGAGTTACATTAATGAAACTTGAATTTAAAACCTTGACAATATGAAACTATAACATTTTAATTTCCATTTTATACTCAAATGGCAGTGCTTTAGTCTATGAATATGGCTAAATGAATTTTTTTCCCTAGCCGTGATTTTTTTTATGGCTCCCGGGATCTCATGAAGCAACTGCATGGCACCATGTTATTCGAGTTACCTCTAGGGAAATGGTTTTGTAATGTATACAAATTAAGAGATTTTAATTATCTTACCCAAAGCACAAAATAGTTTTCCTCATCTAATTTTATAATTATTAGGTTGTAATCGCACAGTTAATAGTATTTATTAACTGAAGAATTATATTTACCTTTTGCTTACCTGGACTTCAAAAGTTGAAATAGCACAATTTTTTCTCATTGATCAAACATAGACATTTGAAATATAGAGAAACATGGTACAGAAAAGCAAATAGTTATACTTTTTGGTATTATTTATGATGAAAGTACATTTGTTTCATCATAAAACATTAAATTAGTGTTATTTTTCCTTTGTAGACTAAAGGAAAAATAACACTAATTTCCTTAAATTTAATCCTAATTATTTCTTAAATTTACTCCTAATTATTTTTGGTGAAGACTATTGAGTAGAATCAAACTAGTGGGTAAAGTATTTTGGCATATTTTTGGTAACTTGTCAACTATTGTGAAACTTAATAACTTTTCTTGTGTAGGAAAAGATAGAGTAAAAGCAGGCAAGAGCAGAACCAGAAAATTTCAGGTGTTTCACTGTTCCCTAAACTATAGTTTATATCACTTTTGTTACTATAGTACTATATGTGACTAAAGTTTTTAAATCTTTAAACCTTATTCTAGGTACTATTTTTCTACTTTTCTTTCTTTTAAAAAATATTTTGATTAAATCTGCTAGAGTGTAGAACTCTTGTCACTTTGATCCCTTTTCTCTGTACCTGTATGTCCCCTGGTAGTGATGCTAATAAGCAGTGAAATTGTTTCAAGAAAGCCACACACCAAAGTCTAGGCTCCAACAAAGGATAGGAGAGTATACAAAGCTGTGAGGTAATTTACAGATTACGTACCCACCCTATATTATGGGACATTAATGATAGTGTTTTATTTTTTTAGGAATCAAACAATAGTCCTTGCCCCACAAGAAACCATCTTCAGAGCCGAAGATCTATCTGTGATTCTTAAAGCATATGTGTTGGTGACATCCTTAACCCCTTTGCGTGCATTCATTCATTCAACTGGCACGGTTTTGAATCCACCAAAGAAAAAACGCTTCACTGTCAAGGTAAAATTTCCATCGATGCTGTTATTTCACACAAAGTATGCTGAAGATAAGTAAAATGAGTTGGGCTGCCTTTCTCCGACCTTTATGATTATCAAATCCCATTAAACAAAAAAATTGCCTCATTTTATTGCTGCAAGCAGATATTTTCATTTAATAGGTGCAAGTTCAAAAATGAACTGGAAACAACTTTATTCGCTAGGGATCACAAAGGCTGCATCTTTTTTCTCAATTCATCATTTTAGTTCAATTCTTTGACCCACTACAAAGCTAGTTGTCGGCTGTATTATGTTTTTCATGACTTTCCACTTTTCAAGAAAAGTATAGTGAATGCAACAAATGAAAATATAATAATATTACCCTTATGGTTTTGCTTCATTCTTAGGAAGCAAATGCCTGTTTCTTCACAACAGTAAATATGGAATATTTGCTGAGTGAAAAACAAAGCTCCTGTATTTAGTGTATAGTACTAAGCCATGATGTAAGGGATGATTAGAAAGTTTTCAGGGAATAACTCAATAACAACCCCAAGAAGTTTAGTTATAAAAGGTAACTCAGGTTAAGTCAGTTGAAAATTAGGTCTAGTGACAACATATTTGATAAATTTTAAGGAATTTCTAATTCTACAGAAATAATTGTTTAGAGGACAGATAAGAGGTGATTTCTCTGGTCAAAATTTTATCCCCTAAACTCTTAGGAAGAGGAGCCTGGGGAGGAAGCACTTTCCTCCATTATAATCCATCGAACTTGGGGTTTAAGAAGGAATAGGGTGGAGGAGTGAATGCCAAATGTGATATAATCACACATATCTCATCAACTCCTCACTTGAACAGGTGGACTTCACATCCTTAAGGGGAACAGGCAGTGATTGTCCTAGGGGGTCACCAGGGAGAGGCAGGAGGAAAACAAAAATACTCTCCTCAAGCTTGTCCTTTTAAAGAAGCCTCCAGCAACCACCTTTCCCAAAAACTCCAGTCATCCCAGTTCACTGCCACCACTGGCCAACCAGTTCGAAACAGCTTTCAGAATCCCATGTTCTTTTGTTAAAGTCATTCTTCGATCTCATTTCACCTATGCTAGTTAATTCACTATCTTGATAAGAAACTGAAGTTTCTAGATAGTCCAAGTAATTTTTTTAAAGCTTTTTTTCTTTTTTATTTATACACCACTTGCCCTGACCACAGTAGAAGCAACTGGTAGAAATAATACATATTTTTGTGATAGTTCTTATGTATTTGCTGAAGTTAACTCATGAGAAAAGAAAGCTCTTTGTGATTTGATTTTCTTTATATTTTCGGGCTTTAGTCATTTCTTTGTTTCTTACTCATATCTTTGCTGTGTCGACAGGACAGATGCAAGCTACAGTTGTAGTGTAGGAAAGCACACAGTTCTTGTCTTTTTATCCTCTCTTCGGCATTTGTTTCCTCAAGATCTTGCCGGATTATTCTGAACAACATTGTTACCTGCTCTCAAAAGGAGGCAATGCAGCTTCCTGAGATAATGTGCCAGGGACAATTATTTCCTTACGAGGTCAAGTTATGCTTGATGTTACAGATAGAGTTCAGAAAACAAGGGGATATTTATTTACCTTTCGACTGAAGTCCTTATTGCTTCAGCTAAAACAAATAGATCATACTTATCTGTTAAATCACTACTATTCTCCAAAATACTGCTTTCTCCTGATATTTTTAGATGTGAAAAAATACACAGAAACTGTTATTAATGCTGTCGTGGAGGACAGAACCCAAACCCACGTTAAAGACTAATCATGTGACCCCAAAGTTTTATGAAACACTGTTCTTAGTTCCATAGAACATGGTATGTATGTGTGTTGTGTGTGTGTGTGTATGTGTGTGTGTGTGTGTACAGTATCCTGAGTTCAAAGGCTTAATTATTTAGTTAAATCAGTAGTGATTTATGCACTGTGCAGTGAGGCAAGCTCACTAAACTGGTTATCAGTGGCCATTTATAGAATATTCTGGCAGCTAAAGGAGGTATGAGAGTAATAACAGATATAACTATGAGCTCATTTATTTCCAATTAGGTCTGCTGCTGAGATATTTAATCTGCCAAAGCTTTGGAGAGAGTTGAGAAATATCAAGAAAAGGGAATTTGAGAAATAATGGAAGATAAAAGTTTTGTAAATTTTTTTAAAATCCCCTTCTCTACAATAAAAATAATTTAAATGTGAGATATTTCCAAGGATATTCAGATATAAAAGGGGGTAGGAGATGGAAAAAGAGAAAGAAAATTAATAACAAATGCAACATTTGCTTACTATATCCTTTGATCTATATTTTTTTAGATATATATCCTTCCCTCTTCACTTTTGTTCTTTACCCAAGTGGTAGGTAGTAAACTATAAACACTGACCTGCGTCTTGCTTTCATCACTTGCAATAGATCTTAGATATCTTTTCATATTTATTTTTTTATTCGATTTATTTAAATAAGTAAATAAAATTTTTTTTTACCCATTTTTCCTACCCCACCTCCACCCCATCGCCTACTTCTGGAAACCACCAGTCTGTTCTCTGTATCTATGAGCTTGTATGTATGTATGTATTTTTAGATTCCACATACATGAGGGATGATATGGTATTTGTCTTTTTCTGCCTAACATATTTCACTAAGCAAAATTCCCTCAAGATGTATCCATGTTTCTGCACATGGCAGGATATCATTCTTTTTTTAAGGCTGAATAATATTCCATTATAAACATATCACAGTTTCTTTACCCATTCATCCATCGATGGACACTTTAGTTGTTTCCATATCTTGGCTATTGTAATAATGCTGCAATGAACATTGCATGCATGTATCTTTTTGAGTTGATGTTTTCATTTTCTTCAGCTAAATACCAAGAAATGTAATTGCTGGATGATATAGTAGTTCTATTTTTGATTTTTTGAGGACTCTCCATACCATTTTCCACAGTAGCTGCACCAATTTACATTCTCACCAACAGTGAACAAGGGTTCCCTTTTCTCCACATCCTCACCGACACTTATTATTTCTTGTCTTTCTGATAACGACCATCCTAACGGGTGCGAAGTGATATCTCATAGTGATTTTGATTTGCATTTCCCAGTGAGTAATGATGTAGAGCATCTATTCATGTACTATTTCATGCACAACCATTTTTGCTGCTAAGGCAATGCCATTTTCTTGATAAACATAATAAATCTAATTTTAAGCAATATTTAATGCAAAAATGTCTTTCTCTAAAAAGCTCTTGATTCAATTATAAAACACTCCAATTATCTCTATGAATTCAAGTGTAGAACTCTTCCACACCATTCTAACTATAACTTTCGGTCAAATTCATCCATGGCTGTCTTTATACACAGGTCACATAGATTAACTGGAAGAAATGTCATAAATTTAAATTTGGTTCTTGGAATAAAAAGTCACAAGGTATGCCTTTATCTACTGTAAAGTCATCCAGCAGAGAAGAAACTCATATCTGGAACTTCTTTCTGACATCTGGAGATTCTTTATACCTGTGATCACAGCTTACTGCGTGGATGAAAATGTATTGCTGGAGTGATTTGTGACCTCTGGAAAAAAATCTGTGAAAAGCCTTACTTTTTCTAGTTGAGATGCAACTTAAATGAATTCACTGTTTGATCAGCCATCCCACATTTAAAGTTGTTCATTTGTTGATATTCGATAGTCAAAATTACACGAAAATGATGCTTTGAATGTAATCAGCTCTCAAATGTGTCTTGGTTTGAATTCAATCAAGATCATTTAAAAATTTTAAATGTGTGAAGAAATTCTTCAAGACTATTTAATCTCTAACTGTTCTAATTCAGCCTCTGCATTTTCCAATGATCTTCTAGTGGTTTTCCAGTAAATGCATTAGACAGACGTCATGATCTGCATTTCTGGGCAGGACCACCTTTATAGAAAAGGGAAAACACAGGACATTGCAGCCTTTTCTCAAGTCAATATCTGTGAGCATCATCTCTGGTGGAAACCCAAGTTAAAGTGAGCTCCTTCCTGCCCAGCCTGTGGCTCTAAATCACTAGCCCTCTACCAGCACTGCATTGGCCTTTGGGGGACCATTCTTCCATATCCTCTTATATCAATGCCATCAGCATGTGTGCACAGAGGAGAGAGTGAACCTTGGCAAAGCGGGAATGTTGTCATTTACACGGACTCTTTTAAAAGAATGCATATATCTCTTATTCAGTTTTGGAAACATGACACAGTTGTAGGGAAGGGATGAAGTTAGCCTCATTTGTTGTCAATATTTATGCAGTGCTTTTCATAACGTCGGGCAAGATAGCTTGTATATTCCTGGGTTTAAAATGAGTTACGTCTTTGAAAGCAGGCATAAAGTTACAGTATGGTTTTTCAACCTTAGGAAGTTTTCCTGTCCTGATCTTCATTTTACATCCAAAACTGCAGACTATGGAACAGACCTTGTAAAAGACTTTTTCACTGAGCATCTGGCCAGAGAGATTTATATCAGATGTAGAAAGAGCATGAACAAAAGCCTGCTCCTGGGACTTTGTAAAATGAATTGATGTATTACTTAATCTACTATTACTTGGATTAAATTTAAAAATTGCATTAGGGTGTTCATTTTAAAGTATGACTTTATATACATAGAAATTATAGATAACCAATATAAAATTAAATAAACATGGTACTAAAGCTGACTTACAATAAAAACCAAAATAATAATTGCAAAATAACAACTTATCTAATCAGCCTCCATTGACATTAAATATTATTTCAGATATATCTTTGTTCTAGAAAAAGTGATTGTTTTGCAGCTGCACATGATTTTAAAGGGCTATTGATGGTTGCTCTTTCTTATTTTTAAATTTTCATTCATTCATCCGATTTATTCATTCTCAACATTGTTCCCTAAAACGTTTTTCAGGTAATTTTGTGCATTTATTAATTCTTAATACTGAACCTCAATTATCATCCTAATAGGAAGAAAATTATTCATTAATCATGGTCTTATTTATTTGATCAAAAATGACC